TCTCAGCTATAAGCTCATGTAAACCATTTCTACAATCGCCAAACAAAGCAAAGTCACCAAACAGTTAAAAGAGCAGTTAGTCACCATGAATCTGTGGACAGGTAATATCCACACTTTAATTTATGATTTCCTGGAGTTCAATGTGTGCTTAATCCTTAATGAAACTGATGTAAACCTGCAACTACAGAGATCCAGGGAAGAAAGAAAGAAGCAATACTTCACCCATGCTTACATTTAAATCACTCTCAACCTTTTCGGTGATGTCACAGTCAGCAGTAGTGGTGGGGTTGGTTGGCTGCTGCAGCCTGCTTTCCGCAGCTCGGTCTTCTCTCTGCTTGCTGAATTTGTCCACTAGCCGAGTGTCTTTAGAGCGTTTGGCCCGCATCACCTCACTGGCTGGTGTCTTACTACTGGAGTTGATTTCGAAGATGGTCTATTTCAGGAGACAATTATGTTTCTTTGCTTTCTAGAACACTTTTTACCAGAAAATGCAGCGCTGCGATGTGTCTGCATCAAACTCACCGCTTTGGATTTGTAGCTCTTGATGGCATCGACTATTTGAAGGCACTCCAGTTCCATTTTTTCCAGACCACACCCTGAAACAAATCAAATTGTCTTACTTAACTGCCATCAGTTCCTCACTACTCCTTTTGATTATTTTCATAATTTCTCTCTTCTTTTTATACTTTATCCTCCTTTGAACTTACCAAGTACCGGATGGACACCCATGCTGGACACATCTGTGTTTTTAACCCGTCTGATGGACTCCGGCGAGGGGTTTGGCCGCGACTTGAGGTACTGCTTGTAGGCGTTCTCTGAGACACGGAGCAGATTTTGCAGGTCCAGGGAGTTTTCGTGAGACGTGATCAGATGAGCACTTTCATCATCCAAGATCCTCTGAGGGACTCGACCAAACACACCTTCTGAATCTGGAGTACGAAAAGAAATGCAGACATTTCAATACAGTGAGAGATAAAAAGAGCACTAAATAAAGTTTATTAGCAACCTCAAATGTGTAGCACATCAGTTAAACAGTTCATCTGTCACTTTAAGACCTGACAGGCATGCAGTGGAGTCTACCTTGTGTGTGTTCAGGTGAAGCAAACTGAACTGGTCGCCCTAGGAAGAGGTGGAGGTCGTAGACATAAGGCATTTCATCAGGACAAATCAGACTATAGGCTGTGCCACTTCGGCCCGCTCGTCCCACACGCCCTGATGGGAAAAGACAGGGGAAAATACACGTAATGCTGGCCTAATCATTTCAAATTAAAGAGGCTCAATCACTTTGTTCCTTCTGCATACAGCTGCTCACCAACTCTGTGCAAGAAAAGTTTGGCCTTGGAGGGGAAGTTGTAATTGATGACATTATCCAGCAGGGGGATGTCTATACCACGAGCAGCAACATCAGTCACCAGAAGCACCATGGCTTTCCGATGCACAAATTTCCCAATGTTGATCTTCCTGGCAGTCTGATCAAGGGCACTGTAGATGTAGGCACACTCTAAACCTTCTGACGACAGCAGCTGGACATCAGGGGGAAAAAAGAAGTCAACTAAAGCTCTAGTTTTTAAAACAATATTTAACATTCTCACAAATTTAGGCTACACTGTTATCTTACCTCTTTTAGGTACTCCACATGGTGTTTGGTGGCAGCAAAGACCACTGTCTGTTCCTGAGGCTTCACTACGTTCCTCAGGAGGTGGAGCAGCAGAGCCGGCTTGTCATCCACACGCAGGTGGAAGAATGACAGCTGATGAAAGTTAGAAGAAATTAAAACATGCTCAAAGCCATGGAAACATCAGGTGACTGTAAGGACTTTTGCTTTGGGCTTTACATTTAAATCTTTCAACATTTCTGGGAGAAGAATACAAAATGTTTGAATAGCAAGTGTCTGAAGACAGAGCAACAAGTAGAAAGACCAAGACACTGACACAGTAGCTGATTTAACATAAGTTAGCATGTAGAGTAGATGCAATAATCCTGTACTCAGGTTGTAATAAATAATGCAAAACCTTCCATCTAATTTCTCAGATTAACCAAAAGGTAAATAAAACAAAAGCAAATTCTGCCTTTTTACCTTGATCTGATCACTGAGCTTGGAATCCACATCCAAACGAATCAGTACAGGTTCTGTCAGGCCTGAGAAAAAAGTTTGTATACACCGGTGTGAATATAATTAGGTTCATTTGCCTTTAGATGCGAAAAAATATGGAAGCTAAGTTGAATGAATATGCTTTATGATGAGAAAATAAGCCAGAAAAACTTGATGTTCAGTTCAGGTTACGCCCACTTCTCGTTGTCAGCAGTTATTTCCCATAATCCCCTGAAGTCAAAGAATATCATTCACTCTCCATGGTCTCTGGTCACATGTCCCTCTCCAGTGAGGATCCAGGTAACAACTGTAGAGGTTTGTATAGAAAATGCCAACTTGTCTCCAAGCACTCACTAACTTACCAGCTGATCAGCAGTAAAACTTGAAGAACGATACAAACTGGAAGTGGAAACCATTCACCTTCAAAGTTAAAGTTATGCCTCACCAACGTGGCTAACACATTTGAAAAAGGCACAGTTAGTGTTGCCATTTCACAGTTTCACCGCTGCTTGTGGAGTAATTGGCAAGTGTTTGCAACCTATATGTAACCAATTTAACCCTGCAAACACCAGCAACCTCTAGCACCCACCAACTGGTCAGGGAATACACATTTTGTGCAACCAACCAGTGGTTGGCAGGTGTTCACCAACTGTTCTCTAGATCTGTGTGACTGGGACTCAAATGGATATGACTTTGAAAGTGATTTTTGTAGTGAAAAGGTAACAAGTGTATATCAATAGATTCTGCTAACTTTCATTTCCCAAGAAAAAAAAGATGCTAACTTTCTTTTTTTTTCATGATTAACAGAAACTGAGGGAAGTGGGGCATGAAGGTGAGAAAGGCCAGACGACAGTTAAAAACAGCAGCTATGGGAAAACATTAGAAGACAGTTTATGCATTTTCTCTAATATGCAGAAGATGTCAACTACATTCAGATGAAACAAATCAACTCAGTCTCTATCTATAATTTAGGCTGTTTACTTACATCACAGAGTTTCAATATTGTGACTTGGACTCAACTGAATTAAACCTAACAGAGTAGAAATGAAACGGTTAATCTTACCAGCTCTGGCAAACTCCACCAACAGTTTAGGCAGGGTGGCAGAAAACAGCAGAGTCTGTCTAGTGTCTGGAAGTCTGCGGATGATCTCCTGAAGCTGCTCAGCAAAGCCCATTTCGAACAACCTGATTCAGGAAAACATTTCAGAATTCAATTTGGAAAATTAGAACAATAAATAAAAAACAAAAAAAAACATGAAAAATGCAATTTCTCACCTGTCAGCCTCGTCAAACACCACATACTCCACACTGTGCAACTTCAGGTTCATCTCCATGACAACGTGCATAAGACGACCAGGGGTACCGATGATACTGAAGGGGGAGAACTGAGCTTAGCATTTCAGCATAAAAATCCATAAAATCCTATGTACCCTTTTTCTTAAGTTATCATGTGACTTTCCAAAAAACTTGACCTCTGAATTCTAACCTTAAGGTCAAGATCGGTGGGATTTGATACCTATTTGCAGTAGACACAACTATGGTATCAATTTGAAACTTCTACATGTCTTTGTTATCATATTCATTAACTTAGGTCTCCACGTGGGGGGTTAAATAAAAAAATATATAAAAGAACTCACATGTCAGGGTTTTCATGGAGAGCAGCAAACTGATCTTCCATCCTGAAAAACAGCAGAGGCATTCACATTAACAGACGACATCAAAGAGCAACAAGAAGAACAAAGTAACAAGACAGCTAAGTAGTCACGCACCTGTCTCCACCAAGGATCAAAGCAGTCTTGAGACCGGTGAATTTTCCCAGCTGCGAGACCCCGATAGAGAAAGGAAAACAGGTAGTACATTAATAACACACCTAAAGATGTAGTTAACGGCTTTATTTCACACTTTTCACCTGCAAGACCTACATGAATGGTAATTTCCACTCACCTCTTTCGTGAACTTCATGGTCTGTAGGGCCAACTCTCTGGTGGGGGTCAGAATGAGGGCCCTGGCTCCTGTTTGGGCCTGAGGGGCCTTTAGCTTCTCAAACATGGGAATCAGGAAGGCAGCAGTCTTACCGCTGCCAGTCCGAGCCATGGCTACAACATCTTTTCCATCCAAAATTACAGGTACAGTCTGAAGTGGTGAAAAGAAGCATGTAATAAGTCACATATTTACATCACAGTGTAACATGACACATAACCTCGAAGCAGCACCAACAAACCTTTCTTTGGATGGGAGTAGGAATTTTGTAACCCTTCTTCATGACGCCTTTAAAAACAGGGTAACTGAGACCTGAAATCAGACATCAGACAGGTCATCTAGCTTTGTTTCAGCTCAAATGGACACATCCAAGTAGGCAGATAGTGGAAAACCTACCCATGGACTGAAACCCTCCAGATTTCTTTTTCTTCTTGTTTTGAGCTCTGACCAGCTCCCTGGTGTCTGGCTCCACATCTGACAAGCACTCTGATGCTGCAGGGAAGCGCGGCAGTTTCCGCCCTGGCTGTGAGACAAATAAAGAAACACGAGGACTACTTCTTAGCAAGATGAAACCTTCAAGACGTCTAAAAAACTGATCAAAACGTTATACAGTGAAAGATTTCAATATTCCTTATACTGAGAATGAATTAATAAAAATCTTAAGTGAGGGAGTCTCATTTTATGGTCAAGGGTTGTTGCTGTGATGTAAGAGTGGGAGACCTACATCTCTGGTGCAGCAAAACGCTAAATATCCACAGATGCCACTTTGTTATTTACAAATTTTTACCATTTCAAAACCTGCTGATCTACTATACAACCATCTCTAGGGTTTACGGAGAATGATGCAAAAAAACAAGGAAATATCCAGTGAGTGGCAGTTCTCTTGGTAAAAACGCCTTGTTAATGCCAGAGGAGAATGGCCAGACGACTTGGATCTGAAGGTAACAGCAAAATTGTACCTAAATAACCACTGGGTACAGTTCATGTATGCACAAGAGCATCTCTGACAAATATTATGGACAAAAATATCTGGAGAAATTAGGGCAGTTCTAAAGGCAACATTTTCAATTAGTTTAACCTTTTTCTTATTCTAGAGACTAGTTTTTCATTCTACTTTCAGGGTTTAGTTTAGTTTAGAACTAGAGCGGAAGGAAACAAACTGTTTTTGCAATGGTACTAACAAATAATTCAGAGTATATGAGAAGAAACTGTTTTTTCAGGGGGCATCCGGATTTGAACCGGAGACCTCTTGATCTGCAGTCAAATGCTCTACCACTGAGCTATACCCCCTCTGCCTTCTACTGGCTCAAAACAGTGACATTAGACATCGATGAATCGTGCAGATCGACGATCAGATGATTAAGAGACTCGAGAGGACGTGTAAGAAGGTTTTAATCGTTTAAAACTTACCGAATCATCGTCTTTAATTTCAACAGCCAGCTCGAAGTCTCCGTCAGAGTCGGTCTCCGGCTCTCTGTTGGCTGTGTGTCTCTTCTTCTTCGTCAGCTTCTTCTTTCTCTGAGCCATCCTGTCACTTTAGTGTCCTTTCAGCCCGCGGCAGGAAATTTGTTTTTCTCTGCAGATTTCTGAATTATCGAAATGGCATCAAGTTTTCAAAACACCCCATCAAAAGACACAGCACGCAGACATGTTGAAAACACGTGTGAGCTTCATTTTCTTCTTCTACCTCCAAGTGCAGTCGCGTGGCTTGAAACTCAACGCTGCCCCCTACTGCCAGGGAGTGTGAAACGCGTTACAAGCTACAACAATATTTCATTTACATGCAGGATTTAAAGACTGTTTCTTTTAATAAGTCTGTGACTACGTCTCTTAAATTTCTAGAATTAATTTGTTCACTCACCCTAAAAGTAAAATTGGATTTTTTTAAAAGAAAGCACTGATATAGTTTAAAATCTGAAAGCTTTTAAAGATTAATCTGAATGCTGGTGTGCAGATTTTGAGCTCTTTGGGTTAATCTTTATATGCCTGCACCCAAGATGTCACATTATGTTTTTTTATATATCTTGCCGGACTATTTAAATTCTGTTAAAAGCAGCACAACATTTGCCACTTGGCCTCTCACAGTGGTGGGGTAACATTCATTTCTTAATGTATTCATCTATTTTAATCAGTGTATTGTACAAATGGAATCAAACAGGAACGCTGCTTTTCATTTCTTTTTGATATAAGCATCCTCACCCATTTGCCCTATTGTTTTAGTGTTTCTATATACATACAAAAGCTGGCTGATGTCTCATTGCTGAGTCATAGTTTGAACCTCTACGATGTATTATTCACAGTCACAGACAGTTCCCGTATCTTGCAGCTCCAGTGTATCCAGACAAATTCACATTAAGATCACTAAGGTTGCACATTTTTGCAAATATAATCTCTCTTATCTGACTGATAAAAAAATCAAAGTAACAAAGCTGTGTTCTTTTTTTCTTTTTTCTTTTCCTTGGTGCTGGGTATAGCTTAGCCCCAGGAAACAACTAAAGAGATAAAAAAATATTCTTCAAGCATGCAAAAGAGCGTTACCCAAATATGCTTTCATTCTGATGACTGTGTTTTTATATGACTCAAAAACTCGTGGAAGACAAATTCTTTCAGTTGCATAACTTTTTGTGAGTGCACAGCACATTTTGGCAGGGAAAGTCTACCCATCCACGCCACAACTGTCCTATATACAACCGTCACCCTGAAATATGCTCCAAAAAAACAGATTTTAGTTGCTGGCACAAACACAGGCTTGGGGAACAGAATCTCAAAGTTTCCTTGTTAATTACTTGCAGTGCTAAATTTAGGATTATTCCTTTTAAATGCCACCTTATGAGCACATTAAGCAGAAAAAAAGTATTTTATCATTCGTTATCACACTATCATTGATGGTATTACTAAACAGAGTGCTCCCTCTATCTTTAAATGCGCAGTGTCAAAGATATACAGAACAAATCTTTGAAATTCAAATTCAAATCTTACACAACCGGATAAATGAAGGGATCAAATATTAGGATCAAATCTGAGCTTTTTTTATTTTTTGTCTTGTGGTCTTATTTCATTTTATGCTAAAATGGTTTCACATAAGACATTTTGGCAATATTTGCCTCTGGTAGTCTCCTGTAATCCACTCATCCATGTATTGATTTTTGCACAAAATAAAATGTCCTTTGTGGTTTCATTAAAATGCAAGTCGTCGTGTTGCTCAAGAAAACAGCTGCCCAAGATATCACCTCCCCACCCCCCAACTGTCATGGTGTAGCCGTGCTGTCCGTTCACAATCACTCCCTTGTGCTTTTTCACACCTTTTTGATGAACTACTTTTTTGTTTCCCTCTCAAGGGAACTCTTTTTATTATAAGTATATCATGAATTAAAACTAACAACGCGTTTTCTGTTGGGTAGGTGTATCTCCAGCTCAGAGCACATTGTGCCCCTGCTCATAAACTTCACTTGTTCACAGCCAGCCACAGTTGAATTTTTTAAATCACCCAGTGGAAATGTGTCCTTTGGATGATAACACTGACACTGACAGCCAAAAAAAAAATATGTACTGTGCTGCTTGAAGTCAGTGGGCTGACGTACAGTAAATAAGTCAACACCATGGCAACAGCCTGGAGCTAATGCCATTCATATTCCCCCTCCACACACACAGACATAGCCTGACTTTGGTGGCCTGCACCCAAATCTGTTCAGGGAGCTGAGAGGGCTTACACACAGGCAATAGGTGCAGCGAGTCGCCAGGATAGGATTCCGCTTTTGTCCTTATGGGTGATTTAAGTGATAAAGCCTGGGGGGATTAAGATATGAAGCTGGCAGTAGCAGGAAAGTTGTGGTGGTTTCAACTAAGCATTCAAATAAAACCGGGATTTTGGCATCAGCATGCCTTCGGGTCAGCCTCCAAAGCTCTTGGCAGTGTCTTAACTCTCAGTTTTCCTACTTTGCAGAGCCCTCCTGAATAACTCCTTCATCTCCACATCATGTGACTCTGGCAGTTTCTTTTCTGGGGTTATTTATTATTCATCAGGCAGGGCTTTTAATGTTTTTGTTGATGTGCATCTTGGGCTACAGAGGGGAAAAAAACAAAGCTACAGTAGCATGTTTTAATTTTCCAATTTGGGACGTGGCTGCAGAACAACCCATCTTTCTCTAAGTGTGATCATAAGATCTTTAAAATGCAAATGTATTTTTGGTTGTAGGAGACTTGCATAGAAGCTAAAACCTCTAAAAACTCTGCAGTGTGTGTTTTAGTGAGTGCACAAATACACTAGTCTGCCATTCAGTCTGTGAGCGAGTGAACGCTGAATGAAAGTCATTAAGGAAACAGATGTCAACATGTGTCAGGTTGGATTTTTCTAAAGATGTTTCTGTATGTGGCAGATGCTGCCTCTAAGCCTTGGAGATTGAGGGGAATGTTTAAATTAAGAGATTATTGAGCTTATGGTTCGTAAAGCTTAGCTTTTAAATGGGGGTAGAAGTGAAATATTCTTCCATATCTGTGTCGACTCAATAATTTATCACGGCACTCTTCAAAAAGCTGGCCGTGGGTTCAGTGGACCTTTTAAAAATAGTCCAAACATCCAATTAGTGTTGCGACTGATGCACTGTAGCATATCAGGCGTTCAAATCCCTGCAGCAAGCCTTCAAACACTGGTTTGATTTTTCATGCCAGACGCTGTACATCCAAGGGGCACATTAATCTCGGAAATCTGATAACAGCTCCTCAGATAGTTTTAAATGGCCGTATGGGAGGAAATATCTGCTTTGGATTTTTGTTTCATGAAAGAAAATTCTATCCAAGTTTTCAAATGCAAGAATTACACTGAGTGATGACCTAAAAAGATGCATTTTTTATATTATTATTATTATTATTACAGCAAACTCTTTCAGCCCTTAAAGAAAACTTACAATTCCATAATTTTAAAATCAGTCAAGTACAGCAGTTTGGAAAATATGAAGAACGCCTGAAACATTTGGACGTCTATTTAAGTTGCATATTTATTTAACTCTGTAGTCCTTATTTATACGTTCTGCTCAATATGCCAACAGGCAGAGTGAATCATGCTGATGTGAATAACCTGGTGAGGTAGATAAAAGTCTCAGAGCCCGAGCAGAGAGGATGTTCTGCACAGTGAGTGTAATTCTCCCACCCCTAGTGAGAGCAGCAGATGGTGAGAGGCCCCTGGGCTTTAACTGCCACCCCCACCCCCCCAAGCTCCTGGGCAAGAAGACAGAGCAGCCATGCACAAAATATCTGGCCACTGACTGGACCCTGCCACGCTTAGTGCCACAGGCTGATAAGACGCTCAGAGGAGCAGCGCTCACATGCTCAAGTAGACTTACAAGTATGTTAACCTGGTGATTTCTCTGGACCCCGACTTAACCCATCATGATCGACGTTGTAACCTCTGAGGCCAACTCTCAATAGGTGATTTTGACTGTTGAAAAGTTTTGTGGTTTTTGATCAAATTCAACTGAAAATAAAACACAGATACATTGAAATGTTGAAATGGAACTTTTATATTTGTCCTGTTTTTTAATAATATGTCTTAACTTTGAATTTGTCACTAGTAGCATGTTTTCAGAAGTATGCAATGCTGTGTATTCACGTAATAAAAAGCTCTTTAGGTTAGGTTAGATGTTTTTAAAAAAGCGTGTCGGAGAAACTGATCCTATCAGATGTAAAAATGGGCATGGGCTCGCCACTTTGTAAAAGACAGAGAAGATAAAAGGTTCACCAATTTAAGAATAACTTTTCTGAACGTAGGATTGCAAAGAATTTAGTCATGTCATCATCTACTGTAATATTATTAAAAGATTCAGGGAATCCAGAGAGAAAGCTCTTTATGCAAGGATCAAGACCCAAAACTAAGCTTGTGTTTGCATTACAGTTCTTGGAAGCGCTCACTCTTTTCTCAGAACTCTCACTAAACTTCGTTCTCTTGTGGCAGTATCTCACAATCGGATCAAAACAGTTTTATTTATGCTTGAAACCATACAGCGCCATCATGCACAAGACAAGTAATGACTCTACTGAGGCTTCATTACATGCTACATCAGAAAATTGTATGGGAGGGTTTTTCCAGCCTCCTGAGGCTGTCTTGCAATTCTACACAAGTTGCCAAATATGTAGCAGCAACAGAGGATCTCTACTGAGGTAGGTTATTCAATGTGTCCTACTTGTTTTATTCACAAAATAAACTAAAACAAAGAACAAACGATATGATAAGCGTTTATGCTTTACGTGTACGATATAGCTCATAGAACTAACTATACGTCTCATGCTGTGTTTACAGTTTTCCTCATTATTTAACCCAAAAAAATAGAAATTTGCAGACATTTCTAATATCATGAAGCTTGTGTGTCAACAACGTGACTCCAAACTGCTAAACTCTGAGCACAGTTCCATCTGGCTCATTTAAATGTAATTTGAAATCACAGTTTTGGAAATCTCTCAACACAAATTGCATCATTTAAGCATTTAGCACACTTTGTATTGATAACTCAACTGGAATAACAATTTAATCCTGCATCAGAGTATGAAACAGCCCTCAAGTAACTTCAACTGACTTGTACAGGCGTTAGGCAAGACGATGGTGCAGCAAGAACACAGGGGAAGGTTAAGAGGAGGCCCCGCAGAGAGCAGAAGGCAAATTTACTTTTTTTTGTAGTGCCTTTGTTACCTTTTGCATCTGCACACTGGTTTTTCTTTATAGT